CCATGTCCCTGCAGAGTTTAGCAGCCTGTAACTTTCTAGTAATCCTGAAGACCCTGATGATCTTGTTCAGGTGTGTTTGATTAGGGTTAGAGCTAAACTCTACAGGAAAGTGGACCTCGAGGGCATTAATCAAAAAGAAATTAGCAATGTTTACATAATCATAGGGAGTAATATATATTCATAAAACTAAGTAAATGGGACATCTCGATCAAAACATATATAATAAAATCTACTTATTTACTTCAGTAAATAGTAGGATTTACTTAATATTTTTATAAATGCAAGGTTCCTGTCTATAAAATAATAAATACACTTTACTTAATTACTTTAAATAAACACTTTTAAATTAGATATAATTATGTACTATTTACTTAGTTAGGGTGCAATTAGATTGAATTTCTTCAGGAATGTTAAGTTTAGTAAGTAGATTTTATTTAATAATAGTAAGTTGTACTTGATATTAGAGCAGTAAAATTTACTTAAAATGTGTTCATGCAATTTGTTACAAAAAGTTTTTTTAAGTAAATCTTACTAGTTATTTTTTCAGTGTAGTACTTAAGGGTTCTTAAGGGTCTAAGGGCTCCATCAAGTCACTCCCATAATAGGTGTCACCGCTCAAATTAATGCAGGACTCAGATTAACTGTATAGCATGTGTGCAAGACTCCAATACAATTATAAAGTAATTATTTCATCACTAAGAAATCTTTCAATGAGTAAAACTGGCTGTGTCTAACATTATTATATTATTTTTAAATTATCATTATTTTAAATGATTGTCCCTGGACCAATAGGGTACTCTTGTAATAAAGTAGCAGTGGTTGGGACAGATTTTACGTGTCAATTCTGCTTAAAAAGATGTGATCTAATCCTGTTTACTTGAAATAAGCTGCTCCTGAGCAGGTTTAGGTTACGGACCTATGACAGCAAGTCAAGGATGAGCTTTATTACACTGCTATTTGTGCAGTGTGCACATGTCAAAAAAAAAACTATTCCGATTTGAAGCTTGTCACTTTATTTAGCGTTCATGTAAACACTACAATCAGATTCATCAATCGAAATGAATTAGTCCGAATGAACCAAAAATTGTGCATGTAAATATATCTCAACTTAATTTTTGATTAGTAATATGCATTGCTAAGAACTTAATTTGGACAACTTTAAAGGGGACTTTCTCAATATACTAAGATTCAAGATTCTCAAATAGCTGTATCTTGGCTAAATATTATCATATCGTAACAATATCCATTTTCCATATATTAATGGAAAGCTTATTTATTCAGCTTTAAGATGATGGATACATCTCAATTTTTTTTATTGACCTTTATGACTGGTTTTGTGGTCCAGGGTCACATATAAAATTTGACTCCAGTGTGAATCATCTCATGTGTTTTTAGGTGTTCTGACCATCTGAATCCCTTCTTTAAATAAACACTTTTAAATTAGATATAATTATGTACTATTTACTTAGTTAGGGTGCAATTAGATTGAATTTCTTCAGGAATGTTAAGTTTAGTAAGTAGATTTTATTTAATAATAGTAAGTTGTACTTGATATTAGAGCAGTAAAATTTACTTAAAATGTGTTCATGCAATTTGTTACAAAAAGTTTTTTTAAGTAAATCTTACTAGTTATTTTTTCAGTGTAGTACTTAAGGGTTCTTAAGGGTCTAAGGGCTCCATCAAGTCACTCCCATAATAGGTGTCACCGCTCAAATTAATGCAGGACTCAGATTAACTGTATAGCATGTGTGCAAGACTCCAATACAATTATAAAGTAATTATTTCATCACTAAGAAATCTTTCAATGAGTAAAACTGGCTGTGTCTAACATTATTATATTATTTTTAAATTATCATTATTTTAAATGATTGTCCCTGGACCAATAGGGTACTCTTGTAATAAAGTAGCAGTGGTTGGGACAGATTTTACGTGTCAATTCTGCTTAAAAAGATGTGATCTAATCCTGTTTACTTGAAATAAGCTGCTCCTGAGCAGGTTTAGGTTACGGACCTATGACAGCAAGTCAAGGATGAGCTTTATTACACTGCTATTTGTGCAGTGTGCACATGTCAAAAAAAAAACTATTCCGATTTGAAGCTTGTCACTTTATTTAGCGTTCATGTAAACACTACAATCTCGTGTTCTCTTCACTCTCCTCTTTAACAAACAGCATCTTCACAGCAGCAGATCTCGTTTCAGATGATACTCCTCCAGATATTCCTGCTTGCTTCAAAACTAAGTCACGACTGTGAGGATGAGAATATTACAGGCATTTAACTAGGGTAAACATACGTGCCATTTTCCCAGGACGCGTCCTGGCCAGGATTTCTATATTGCCTAAAATATCTAGGTTTTGGCTTTGTTTGCGTGTGCAGAATCTTTAAGATTACTTACAACAGAACAGCAATGCATTTTAACAGCAAAGTGCGCGCGTGCGCGCGAGAGAGAGCGAGCGAGCCACATCACAGTGGATGCAGCTGTCTTAACCGTGGCTTGTGTGCTGCAAACACATACCAGCTTCATCACTGTGTCTGTCACCAGACTATGTTCCCCTTTCGGGCTCTGTCTTTACATTTATTTTGAAAGATGAAGCTTGCGATTATGGTAAG